AAAGATAAGTCTAAAAGAAAGAGATGTATCTAGTGTTTCTAAATATTTTAAGCAAATCTACATTTAGGTTACTGGAATGTCAGCACTTACATTTGGGGGGGGGGGACAAGATTTTATATCCTGGAGACTCTAAAGAGAAGCAGAGATTTGGTTTGGGTCTCAAATACTTTATGGGAGACAGCAGAGTATAGGAGAAATCACACGGCATATGGAATCGACCACACTTAAATTTGAATTCTGATGGTGACATTACTAATTATGTGGCCTCGGGCAAGTTACATAACTTCTGTAAGCTTTAGTTTATCCATATGTAAAATGGAAGACACTGGTCTCTACATCCCTTAAAGCAATCTGATTTACAGGAAATACATGCCATGTAATGCTATATATGTGCTGTGCTATGTGAAAATTATTTTTAATATTCATGATCATCGCATTTATCAACTAACTATGTACAAGCCATTGTGCTAAATTCTGTGGGGGATAAAAAGTCTCCTCAACAAGCATAAAATCTGGTAGGGCAAACAGAAAGGTGCTCATTTACCTGTGACATAGGGCAGAGCATGAAAGTGTTGGCACAGTGGCCCAAGGTGCCATGAAAGCCAAATTACACACTCTGAGCTAGAAGGTACTTTAGAGAAGAGCTTCTCAAACTTGGTGGCATACCAGAACCAACTGAGGCACTTATACAAAAGGTTTCCCAACTTTTTAAAAATCAGATTCGGAATTACTAAATCAAATTTCCCTATTGTTCTCAATGAATAATTGTTGAAGTGAATCATTTCAGCTGACTTTCTCTTTTATGCCTGAAGAATAAGAAGCTAAGTTAGGACATTAAATACACACAGCTGGCCCAGTGATGGTGGTGGTGACAGGTGGGTAGTGGTGGCACCAAAACCAAAAGTAGGACTCAGGTCTCCTAATTCGGGGTCAAGAGTCTTTCTTTACTGTGATTATAGGGTAATCTTCTATAGGACAGAGAATGCCAAAATAAATCCAGCTTAATTTCAATGTATAGAAGAAACACAGGTCATTGGATTGAACAGTTAGATGGATCTGTTAGAATATTCAAAGTTCTTATGTTACAAATCGCACCAAACCACAAAATACAAACACAAAGATATGACAATTATCTAAAATATAAAATTCCACTCCCAAATAAGTATCTCTATCTTCACTAATTGCTATATTAAATATTGATGACTTATCTCAGAGGTATTTTTATATCCATATAATTGTTCTGTGAATCTGGATTCCCACTTTGCATGTGTTTTGCTAAATGTGTTTTCTTTTTCATAGATGTGATGGATAAACTTGAAGGTCCACACAGGACCAGCACCAATACAGGCTTATTCTCTGGCTCCCAAGATCACATGATAAGATCAAAATCTGTGTGAGTGAGTGGTGTTATGGTTTTGAGTTCTTGAGTCCAGCTAGTACTTCTTATAATCGTAAAATATGATACTTCATTTATACTTACTGTGACATGCTGTTGTAATATCAAGTTCAAGAAGTATTATCTAATTCATGAACTTTTCAACCTAACTACAATTAAAAGTCACACAAGCTATTGAAGTGTACATATTACAGGTAAGTACAGAGACAGCAGGTAGTGGAGACTATATTCCACTGAATTATCTGACGTAGGAATAGCTTCTTTACACATCCTTTTATACCTCCAAAGTTATAAATTGAGGGTGGCTTTTTAATTTTCTAGGAGGAACATATGACCTAAAGGTACTAAAGAATGTAATACGAGTTAAGTTGATATGTTTTGTAAAGTGGAATTTTCATATATTAGATTTTCTTAAAATGGAGATAGGCTCATTTCTTCTGTACTGACACTCCAACATAATAAAATCGACTCTTAGGTTTCATACAAGCGTTAACGTAAATCTCCACAAAATAGAAAATTAGCTTCAAAGATTTTATTGGTTCACCAAGTTTTTCCGAATTTTCCAAAATTTTTTTCCTTTTTTTATTATTAAACGTACTGGGGTGATATTAGTTAATAAGATTATATAGTTAAAAAGTCAACGTGTATCACTTTTATAATCAGAAAGAAGGCCATTCAAAAAAAGATGTTTAGGGAAGCTACCCTTCCACCGATACCTGTGGGCATGACATAGACCTATCTTTTCTCCAGCTGTGATAAACTGGCTCCACTCCCACCATTAGTGCGCTTTGTTTGCAATTCAACTCACATACATTTTTGGTTTGATTAACTTCATTTCTTCCCTTCCCCACGACTTCACTGTTGTAGACCATAAGGCAGCCAACAGGAACTTCAATATTTTCTAGGGCTTCTTTGGCCTGAAAGACAAAGGAGAAAATCTAAGAAGTAATGTTCGATACTTGAAAAACTATAGGAAAGAAATACATGCAGCATGAGCAGTCAGCATATGTATAAAAACTAGAACAAAGAAATGCAGCTGAGCTTTCCCTTTTCTCAAATACGGTTCAAGTATTTAGTGTGTTTTTCTTTGCTGTGTCCATTTAAGGCAGACTCAGGAACAAATCTCCTTCATAGGTCCTGAGCTCCCTGATTTTTTTTTTTTCTCATTAGAAGCAGAGGTGATTAAAAGACTATTACTGACTCTTGATCTTAAATTGCCAGGGTCTATGCACCTTTTCATATATATATTTGCAAAGAGGTAGAAGAATAAATAACATTTATAAATCCTTTATTAAAATATTTTCCTTGTTGAAATTCTCCTTGCTTATTTTCTTTGTTTCTCTAAAAATGACAGAAAATATTCTCTAGAGCAGTGGTCCCAGGAGCCGGTGCACCTATGAGAATCCAATGCCCGATGATCTGAGGTGGAGCTGAGGCGGTGATGCTAGCGCTGGGGAGCTGCTGCAAATACAGATGAAGCTTTGCTTGCTCACCCACTGCTCACCTCCTGCTGTGGGGCCCAGTTCCTTACAGGTAGTGGAGCTCACTACTATAGAGTTCCAATAGCATAAAGGCAGCCAGATTGGTACCTCCCTGGGCGTACAATGTCTGCTCTAAGTGAGACAAGAAAAGCTGAGGAGCATGACCATCTGGAGAATATTTTGGAAGTTTCCTTGAAAAAGAAACATACACATAGCTTATGAACAAATTCTACTACTAAGTATTTATTTAAGAAAAAAGAATATATATAGACACACACAACCTGTAATAGAATGTTCATAGTAGCTTGATTTGTAATAGTCAATCAAAATCTGGAAACAGTGCAGGTGTCCGTCAACAAAAGAATGGATAAACCAATCGTGTTCTATTCACACAATGGAATACTGCTCAGCAATACAAAGAAACAATCTACTGAGATACACAAAAACATGGATGATTCTCAGACATGCTGGGTAAAAAAAGTTAAACACAAAAGCACACATACTGTATGCTTCCTTTCATGAGAAGTCCTGGACTAGACAAAACTAAACTACAAGGATAGAAATTGGAACAGTGGTTGCTTCAGGGAAACAGAGGTATAAATTGAATGGAAAGGGCCACAGGGAAATTTTCTGGGATGGTGAAAACTTATCTTGATAAGTGAGTGGGTTACACAGATATTTACAGTTCATGTAACACCTGTGTATTTTACTATATGTAACGTACACCGCAATTGAAAAATAAATTTAGGAATAATTCTATCACACCACCCCGGGAATGGCAAGCCAATTATTCTATTCGCAAAGCTTCTTCTCTATCATCAGCAGCCCATTTTTCTTCTAGCCCTTCTGCTGAGTGAATCTCACCAGCTCTGGGGCCCTGGACAGTTAAAGAATACTTTTTAAGACCAGAAAGCAAAAGCAGGCAGGTTATACCTGGGCATGTTCTGATAAAGCCATTGAGAGAGAATAAAGGTGCAACCCTTGGGCTAGTGTACAATCACTTCTATCTCACTACAATTAAAAGAATCCAAGTACAGTTGTTTCTAGAAAGGCATGGCATTTCTTATTTTGGCAGGCCGGAAGACACTTTGGAAAACTAGAGTCTCACTGAAGTCTAGGTATGTGCACACACCATAGGGCATATACGGTGCAAAGCTAGAGGCACTGCTGAAAACAGTGTTCCATCTCCTGCACTAGCCTCTTACTCCCAGCTCTACTTTATTTATAACAGGAATAACTTCCAACCATAATGCTAACATGGGTTCCTTAGCTTCTTGAGGCAAACGCAACGGACACTTTTCATCTGGCCAACAGAGGTAAAAGGAGAGGTATATAGTGGTAACAAACTATACCTCTCCTTCCTCCTCCGGAGCGGTGAAATAGAGCTGGGGCATGGAAAGATGTAATGAGGCAGTATCTGCAGCAATATTCTTCAGAACTGTGTCACGAACTACCTACAGGCTAATTCTGTCCCAGTTCTGTAAAAATGGTTAAAGCATGACCAGTTTATGTAAAATTTGAACTTCTGAAGAGCTCCACGGTTTGGGAATACATACAAATAAATATACAAATGTATGATAGGCTACTATAAAAAGGACAGCCAGGAGGAGGGCTGAAAGCTGGGGATGATGAAGATGCTAAATATCAGTACAATTAAGGCAATCATCACACAAGGAAAGTAATTTAAAATAAGCTTAGGACTACATATAACCCTGGGTACACATGACAGCCAAATCATTTATTTGTCCAACAAATATTTATTGAAGATCTTGAAGTAAGGAAATTATCCTCATGGCCCTAAATACGACCACAAATGTTCTTATAAGAGAGAAGCAGAGAGATGACATAGAAAGCAGAAAGCAATGTGACAATGGGAGCAGAGAGCAAGACTTGAAGATGCTACAGGGTGCTGGCTTTGGAGACGGAAGAGATGAGCCAAGAAAGCAATGTCCCTCTAGAAGCTGAAAAGGCAAAGAAGCACATTCTCCTCTAGAGCCTCCAGGGGGCGCCCAGTGAAACTGACTTTCAACTCCTGGCCTCCAGAACTACCAAGGAAAAACTTGCGTTGTTTTAAGCCACCAAGTTCGTAGCAATTTGTTACAGAAGCCACAGGAAACATACACCCAGTTAAGAGGAAGAAAAGACAAGCTAAAACTGGAAGAAGATATTTGCAAACTGCATGTCAAACAAAGGTCTATTATCTAAAGAATGTAAAGAACTCTCAAAAATGCAACAGCAAAAACACCCCAAACAATCCCTAGTCAAAAAATGGGCAAAAGATATTTACAGATATTTCACTAAAGAGGGCATACAAATGGCAAATAAGTGCATGAAAAGATGTCCACATCATTAGCCATTACAAAAATGCAAATTAAAACCACAACGAGAGAGTACTACATACCTATCAAATTGGATAAAATGAAAAGTTAAAATGCCAGATGCCAGCTAGGCTGTGGGGAACAGGAGCATTCATACACTGGTAGAAACATAAAATGGTACAGCTACTCTGGAAAGTGGTTTGGCAGTTTCTTTAAAAGATAAACATTCACTTAACATATGACACAGCAATTGCACTCTTGGGCATTTATTGACTCAGAGAAATGAAAACTTACGTTCATACAATACATAATTCCAAAATGATCCCAAAAGGTTACATCTTCTTGTATATAACATTCCCGAATGACAAAATTACAGGTATGGAGAACAGATTAGTGGCTGCCAGGGTTTAGGGTTTGGGAGGGGGTGGTGGCTATAAAAGAGTAGCATGAGGGAACCTGTGGAGATGAGCAGTTCGAGTGGTAATTAAAACTAAACGTGAAAAAATGCATAGAACTACTACACACACACACACATGCACACATGCACACACAAGTGCATATAAAGCTGATGAAATCTGAATAAACTCTGCAGATTGTATCAATGTCATTTTCCTGATTTCGATATTGTACTACAGTTATGGACAATGTTACCATCGGAGGAAATTGGGTGAAGGGTACTCTTTTGCAAATTTCTGTGAATTTATAATTATTCTGAAATGAAAAGTTTAAAAAATAAAGGTGGCGTAAACAAGTATTTTACAATATAGATTAAGAGATGCCTAGTAAGGTAGGAAGAAAACCAGAGTGTCTGGTATTATGAAAGACCTGAGAAAAAACTGGGCCGAGACAGAAAGGTCAGCGATGTTGAGGCAATTTGTGTAGAATGGTGGAAATGAAACGAGTGGCTTGAAGGGTGACTAATTTATAGGTTAAATGTCTAGCTACTAACACAACAGACTGTTATGGCTACATCTTAAGTGTTCTGATTCTGAGAGTGCAAAGAAGAGCTTAACAATTTACTGAAAAACTTAGTTTGACCCAGGACTACTTTAAGCACTTTATAAGAATTTTAGTTTATGATGCTATGAGATAGGTTCAGTGATCTGCCTCATCTTACAGATGAGGAAATAAGATATGGGGAGGTTATGGAATTTGCCCATGTGAGAAGCTGAGACTAGAGCCCAGGTAATTTGGCTCCATTCATTCACTTGTTCAACAAATATTTGCGGAGCATCTACTAGGTGCCGGGCTCCTCAGCAATTTGCCACTGTTCTGCCTCTAATTTCTACTCCAGTCACACTGATCAGCTACTTTATCAGTGTTTGGGATCAAAGCAGCTCTAGTTCAAGAGTAAACAGGAGAGGGAGGATGGGGAGAACCCATGTTGCTCAATGGGGTTTCAAGTCCTGACTTGTTCACCTGGAAGACACTGGGGCCACACCGCGGAGGCAGCTGCAGAGGGCTGGCAGTCTCTCTCCACCCAGACCTCCGGTGACCGGGCTTGTGCCTTTCATTCTTTCCTTTGCATTTTCACTGTTTCCTTCTAGCAAATTTTTCTCCTTTTACTCTACTTTCCACCTCTCATGTGCAGATTACCAGATGCAGAGTTGACTCTTCCACCAAGTCTGACCATTTCTCTATGAATGCAAAAGAGCTCGGGCAAAACGGATCTGAAATGTGTGCAGGGAGGTTTTAACCATCTCATCTTCTGCGGGAGAGGCCAAGGCTCAATTACTATTTAAAATGGCAACTTGGTCTTCCATAAATTAACAAATTATCAGCTTTAAAACTGAAGAATGAAATCTCTGTTCTTCCCAGCCCAAACACTGTCTTCTATTTAGTGTTCAAATGTCATATCTTTTGCTCTGGTCAGGGCCTGCTGGTCACGGATGATGACAGCTCCAGGATGGAGAGACTTTGTAGTTTCTCTAAAGCCATCATTCCCATAAACTACTTTCTAGTGAGGTGGTGGTGAAGGCGAGGGAAACTGGGGACAGACTGCAGTTGGCACAGACTCTTGATGAGTCCCCAGATATATTTCCTATGAAATTAAAAAAAAAAAAAAGTAGGAGAAAAGACTATTTAACCAGAACTCTTAGGTAGAAAATAATAACATCCAAAAGGTTATACTACAACTGTTACTGCTGATGACACTCAGAAGCTCTGATTTCCCTCTATCAATTTTAAATTCTTCAACTTGGCACTGAGAGCCTCCCAACTACCCTCCCTACCAGCCAACTGAACCAGCCCAACATTTATTATTCTTCTAGGTCCTTGGTTCTTAACGTTTTTGGAGCCACAATCCCCTTTGAGAATCTGATGAAAGTTCTGGACTCTCTCACATGAAACAGGCACATGCACATCATTTTGTTTCAGGGTTTCTAGATCCCGCAAAAACATGGGCCCCAGGAAAGGAAGTCCTGTTCTACACAGACAGCTAGATCAGCTCCTGATCCAAGACAAAGTCCTCCATATCTTTGTAGCTGACAGTTCCTCTTGATCAATTTTTCCTTTCCTTTCCATCAATCCCCACCCCTTTTTTCCTTTTAAAATTCAGAAAGCATCTAAAATTTATTTCAACTGACCTTCTCAGGACTTTGTCGCCAGTTATCTGATAGTGCTTTATCTCTGCCTCTTATTTTGAACCCTGCACATGTTTACTTATTAACTTTTTCATCTGTGCACAACTTAATTTCACCAATTAAACAGAATGCTCATGGGAGGCAAGCACTCGATCCAGGCACTGGTATGCCTGCCTTGCTCGCCTTTGCAGACCTAGCACCCAGCACAAGCCCTAAAACACAGGGAATACTTAATCACACCACATTGGTTGAAATGGATAAGTGTCTCTGCTTGATTGACTAGGCACCCAGAAAATGCATACTACAATAATATGCAATTTCTAGAAAACGTGCCTTCTCCTTCCCCTCACACTTGCTCACACTCTCTCTCGTTATATTTATTTGTGTGTGTATATATGTATGTATGTATGCATGTATGTGTGTATAGACTCAATCTTTCTTTTTTTCCAAATTATAAAGTTAAGATATGTTCAAGGAAAAAAACTTGGGGGTAACAAATCCACATATCAAAAATAAAATTACTCACTCATAATCCCAATGTCCCAAAATAGGATTACTGTTATTATTCTGCGACAGAAGATTTTCAGGTTTTTTTCTTATGCACACATTCACATATTTGTAGTTTTTTTATGTCAAATGGATTTATAATATATATATGTAAAACTCATCAGTCTGCCTTTTCATTTAAAAATATATTATAAACATTTCCTTATGATAGGTAATATTTTTTCAGCACTTTTTTTTAAGGTTGGATAGTATTCCTCTGTATGAATGTTTATGATCATTTAACTGGTCCCCTATTTTTTTTTTTTGACATTTACATTGTTTCAAATTCTTCACTATAATTAACAATTGAAGAACTTCCTTTTAAATCTCCATTGCTTCTGTGAATTGTTTCGAGCAATAGCTATAGAATGCAAAGGACTCCTACAATGTGATTTAAAACACAAAGCTAATAATAAAATTGGGCAAAGAATGCTAGGCAATCCACAAAAGAAAAAAAAAATCCAAATGTCTAATGAAGATGCTCAATACACAGTAGTCAGGGCAATGAAATTGAAAAGGCAGAGACATCCAGCAAAGCGTATGTTGAAGAGCAGTAAGCACCCAAACACAACACACTGCAGGCCAGAGGTGAAACCAACAGCTGGGCTCAAATCATGGCTCGTCCTCACCAGCTCTTTGGAGAATTTACTTAACTCTGTAAACTTCAATGTGCCCATCTGAAAATGAGGACAGTAATAATATCCACCTCATAGGGCTGCTGTGTAGCTTATATGTTATGGCCCATATGACACATTGTGCATAGCACTGTGTCTGGGACACAAGAGTATAACACTGTTACTTATTCTTACATGTATAGTATAAAATAATTTGTATTGTCCTTGTTTAATGGTTAACATAACATACAGTTGTGATATTTAATATTATGTTTATACCTAATATCCATAATGATTTTAAAAACAGTACATTAGTTAACAGAGTAATAAACAACAATTTAATTAACCATTTTCTTTTACTGAAGGTATGAAATACTTTCAGTTTCTGCTATTACAAATAACACTGAAATAACAATCATTACTTGTATCATTCTAAACTATTTCCTTAAGGTAAATGCCACAGAACCATATTACTGGGTCAAATGACAGCTATATTTTTTGTGGCTGTTAATTACATTATGCCAGGTTGCCTTCCAAAAATGCTGTATCTATTAGACTGATAGGGTTGTATTTATTTTTGTATAGCCTAACTTTAAATGACATTTTAAACCAATAGATTTTTAAGCTTTCTAAAATACTGTTCTCCTTCCTTTTATAACCCAGGCTTATGTTTTATACTACAATTATAGACCAAGATACAAACTTTCTAAAGCAATGCCTTAATTTTAAACATGAAGAAAGACCCAGAAATTGTATGACTTGGCTGCATCCACCTGCCTGGTCTCATCAGAGCCAAACATTCTAGTTATTAATATTACCCATACAAATACGTCTAGTCTGTACAAATGCTATAAGGATGCTAATATCCTCCCTTTTACATGCATACTGGAAATTTCACTTTCCAATTCCTCAGTACATATTAATCAGAGATTAACTTCTCCAGTCTTGGCACTAGCTCTAGTTCTGATCTAATCTTCAACTCTTCTCAGAAATACATAATATACACTTAAAACTACTTCAACAATTCTTAGAAATAATTTAAGACTTGAAGTTTCTTTAGTGGGAAGGGAAGGTTGAACAAAGCAAAAGGTTTATGGCGAGTACTTTCCCTCCTTTGTCTAAGGCCTGAAAAAAACATATATAGGCCAAAACCAAAAACAAGTGCTAAATAAGGGGCTCCTGAACTCTGTGGAGGAGTACGTAAACTAGGTAACTGGATCCCTATGTGTTTATAATCCAATTAAGAGAAAAAAGTGCCAAGGCCAGAGTGATCTTAGAAACTACTTGGAGTTCAATCATCTCATTTTATAGAGTAGGAAATGAAACCCTAGGAGGATGAAGTGACCTGCCCAAGTTCATAACAAAAGGTAGTAAAAAGGACTTACTTATGTATTTAGTCCAGAAGTCTAGAGAACAGTGCCAAGGCAGGGGGATGAAATGTTCCAAGATATTAGGACCAAAAGATGCTTAAATGAAAATAAAGACCCAAAATATCAAAGTATGATGCACAAAGTGGAAAAACTCAATGATTGATTAAAGTTAGCTGTTTTTGAAACCACTATTGTATCCTCTGGTATCATCTCTAAAAATTTGCTCTAAGCAAGCTCTACACATAAATACTTTGAGGAGAGCTCCCAAAACAAATAATAATAATTAAAAAACACCACAAATTCTGACTTCTCAGCAATCATATATCATCTGCCCTCCAGATCTCACATAGGATACAAATGCAGCTTACTCCAAGATATCTCAACCTTCATGTGCATTTATTGTCATCCTCACTATTTATTAAAAAGCTGCCTAGCATACGGTAATATTGAAATGTTGAAAGGATTTGTGGGAAGGAAAGATTTTGATATCAAGTGAAAACTCCTTGTCTCTAACTTGAGAAATTTAGTAACATCAAAAGAGTTCGAGACAAATCCATATTAATCCATACAAATTACAATTAATTTCAATGCATATGTGAACATTAATTAAAGTATCAGAAAGTTACGTATTCTGTAAGTTTAATGAAGGAAATAAATTTTGAGGTGGGCTTAAATAATGGGTCATAAAATCAAGTTAATGAATCATGACTAGCATTTTTTTCAAAATGCAATAAAAGAAACAGGAAAACTACACATAAAAAGGTTAAGTACAGTTCTGTGAAACTTTTGTTTCAATTATAGTTATGTGTGTTTACTGGGTTGTGATATAAAATGTTTTTAATTTAAGTCATTTTCAAAAAGTATGAGAAACAAGTTTATGTTAGTAACCAAAACAAATGGGTAGATGTTTTAATGCATCACAGCTTAGAGAATATTTGGCTGCAATAGTCCATGAACGCAGGGAAAATAATGTGAGAAGAGAACAAATAAAATGCAGAAATCGGTTTCAGTGTTGAATCCCCAATGCCAATCATACTGCACTGAATAAACACTTGTGAAGTGAATGAAGACATAATTATGTAGCTACTTAACTATAGGAGACCAGAGGCCACTATGATAGGAAGATTATAATCAAAATCATGTATGAAAAAAGATTTCTTTTACAGCAGCTTTAGAGAAATGTAAAACTGAAAGGCATGTCATATATGTATATATGTGTGTGCATGTATTTATATACATTTACATATATATCTCAAACATACTTATCCATATTATAAAGCTCGCTGGTACACATAAGTGTGGGTAAAGCTTGGATGACACAGATTTGATTAGAGTCCTCCTTAATCAACAGTCTTGAAGGAAGTGAGGGACGGAAGTACAAGGACAGAAAGCTGAAGGATGGGTGGTTGGATGGTTGGATGGTTGGATGGTTGGATGGTTGGATGGTTGAATGGTTGGATGGATGGACGATAGATGGATGGTAGAATCTGGCTTTACAGGAACTTGGCTTTATACTGTTCTCTACCAGAAATATCCTCAACTTCCTTCCTTCCTTCCTTCTATTCCATAGGTTCAAGGGATCATAAATACAAAATAATGTCACTTCGCGGATTTGCGAATGTGTCTACGGAAAAAAAGGGGGAAGCAGCACGTTTGTGACAACAGCAGCTGAATGGGGGTAGTTGGTGCATACTTCATGCCAGTGAAAAAGCCTTTCTGTATTTCTCCTCTTCCTCCTCAGAGACACTCCGAGAATGGGCTCAAGAAAATTTCAGGACAGTAAAGCCAGCTGTTTACTCAGAGAACCATGAGCGCCATCGAGATGACGGTGACGAGAAAGCACCGGGACGTTCGCTGAAATGAGCCGGCTGGGATGAGAGCCAGAGAAAGTTCCCACCCGCGGCATCCACCTCCCGGGCTCCTCACCATTTGCATCGCCGCTTCCATCCACTTCTCTATCTCCTCCGCCGACACCCAGCACCCGCCGCCAGAAGCCCGCGTGGGTCCCCCTTTCGCCTCCATACCACCCTAGGGTCGCCGCGCTCAACACCAG